ATAATTTGATCAATATGCCAGTGCTAAGAGGGCCTTTAAGGAAACTCACCTATCATCGAGTGATCGGGGGTGGAAACCAACCCCTCCCAGAGCAGGAGTGCTGCCTCCCAGTGGCTGCTGCGGGGCGGGGGTGACCATTGCTTTATCCCAGAGTGGAGGGGGGCCTACCGGTGAGGTCTTCCCCATCCTTTCTTCCCTGGGTTTCTCTTCCTCTGTGGTTAAACATCTACTGGCCCAGTCCAGAGAGAAACTGCCTGGCAAGGCATATCATCTGACAGTCAGTCTTTGAGGGGCTGTCAGTGTAGAATTGTTTAGAAAATGCAATGGGGATATTTCAAGTTGAAATTGCTCACACGTTGTTCTGGAATCTTCCGATATCTGATGACCGGGCGGTTGGGGTGCCTGGCTGCTGGGGCTGTTAGGGCTGGAGCTGCCTCATCCTCCTGCACTGCACCTCTGATATAACTCAGCTCAGAGCACAGGCGCCGAGACTGCGTTGGACAGAAGTCGTTGAGAAGCAGATAAATAAAACCTGGCTCCGATCCATGGCCTCCAGAGCTGCCTGAGACCCCAAACACACAGATCTACAGAAGTAATCTAGAGACCAGGACCTGGCCTTCCATAGGTCACACAGGCAGCATGCTGGCCTCAGAGCCCGGGTGAAAACCATGGTTTTCTACATGGCTTTGGGGTGTTGAGTCACACTTCAGGCCAGCAGGTGTCTGCCCTTTATCTCATTCTGAGCGCTGCCCTGATTCTCTGAGGAAGAAGTCCTGATTTCAGAGATGTGACCAGGACCCTGAAAGGGTCGGATGGCCACTTCCCTGCCTAACAGACATGAAATTACTTCCCACTGCATGGAACTTCAAACAAGCCCTTGCTTGGCGTCAGAGGGTCACCAGCCAGCCTTCCTTGCAAATAACGGCAGTGTGACATCACGGGGGGCGGGGTGGGGTGGGGTGGTGTATGACATTTGTGTGCAGTTTTGCTGGTGGACATACTTGAGTGGTTCGTGCTGTGAAGACAGGACCTGGGGACCCGGCCTAGCGTTCACGCAATCTTGAGGCGGCGTGGCTCTTCCCCACTGCTGTTTAACATCACCCGGTGCCCTGTTTCGTGGAGCTGCACATCCGGAGGAAGTGACACGTCTCAGAACAATTCACAAAGGTATAGCATTCGAAAGCTCTGAATCAGGGTGCGCAGACCCAGTGGGTTATCTAGTTCGTCTTTCCTATTTTGCAGGCAACAGCAGCAAAGCCCAGAGGAGGGAAATGATTTGCCTAAAGCCACGTGGTGAAAAGCAGAGCTGACAGAGTAGGAGCCAGGTCGCTCTGTGTGGCTGTGGAGCGGAACCTGCTCATTCAAGTGCCGGGGCGCTCTCTCTGGCCTTGTCTTCCTTTGGCTGAGGTTAAAATGAAGTGTGCAGTCAGAGCCCACAGGGACAGGCAGCCGGGCAGTGTGAACCTAATTAACAGAGAGACTGTCTGGAGTGGCCTCCGGGTGGCTGTCCAGAGTGTGTGGAGTATGCTCGGTCACAGGAAGCATAAAGAATCAGTAAGTGGGGACCCACGGCAGGAGCCTTGCCCCAGTTTCAGTGCTGTGGGTCAAGGGTCAGGGATGGTCTGAAATCTCAGCATGGGTGGATCAGAGACCATAGTAGGAGAAACACTTAGGATGCTCAAAGCCTCCTTGGCTTACAGCGTGGTATTCAGAAGTCCCGTGTTAATGAGTGTGCAAATGGGACCCACTAGAGTGCAAGGAACAGATTGCACTTTGGGAAATGGCGCCTGCTCCCCCCCAATCTCGTTTTCTGTCATTTATTTGCTTAACAATCTCGATGGAGACTCGGGGCAGATGTTACTCCCAGCGCCCGGTTGGTAGTGCAGATTCTGAATGGAGTGGGACCTCTGCGCCCGCTTCTCTGAGCCGCCTCTGTGTGTGTGGAGTAGATTAGTTACTTCTGAGAAGCCGTACTCTCTGCCAGCAAAGCTGCCCGCTTTGAACCGTACTTCAAAAGCAACTTTCAGAGTCTGCACCTGCCTTGCCAAACACCTATTTCCAGAAGGTTCCAAAGGAAGCCGTCTCCTGCTCCTGCCCCCTTGCAGATGCCTCTGAAGGTCTGGCTCAAAGGCCGGAGCTCAGTGGCCCCCAGGCAGAGGGCGGGGCGGGTGGAGTCCACCTGCTGGACCACAGCCGCCCTGTTGATAACGGACTTTGCCCAGTTGGCAAAAGGAGTTTCCCAGCATATGATCTAGTTCCAGTCTGTGATTTGTGACCTGTCCCAATTGTCGAAGTCACACGTCTTGATGCTTTTTCCAGAGCTGAGCTGTAGAGGTTTGAGTTGGATCAAATGCTCTTTGGACAGCTGTTGGAAGCAGTGGTGCTGTCGGGCAGCAACCCTGGTGGTCATTTTTTCCTTCATACGTATTTCTATGAGCTCTGTCAAAAGGCTCATGTTTGGTTCTTGGCAGGAAATCGTTTTGCAAAATTGCTAAGTATCAGTTTTCCCATCTGAAAAATGGGCATTTTAGTAAGAACCTTCCTCCTGTAGTGGTCAGAGCTCACCCTGTGAAAAGCCCAGCCAGCTTTCCATTCCTAGTAGCGAACAGTTTTCCTGTATATTCTCTGACTCCTGAGAATGTGCAGAGCCCATTCCCAGGGCAGAGTAGCCCATGTACAGATGTGAATGGCTCAGTGCCTGCTTCTACTTTTCAGGGAGACCAAGGGTACAGCACTCAAGAGCAGATGATGGTGAAGTTATAGCTGGAGGTGGGGACAGTACCCCCCAGAAAACCCAGGACGCAAGGGCAGGCAAGCCCTGGCATATTGTACGATTTTTTTTTTTTTTTTTTTTTTTTTGAGACAGGGTCTTACTATTCAGTTCAGGCTGGTCCTGAACTCACTTTGTAGCCCAGGCTGGTCTCAGACCTGCCACAATCCTCTTGCCTCAGCCTCCCGAGTGCTGGGATTATAGGCATGCACCACCACATCCAGCTCTAATGTAGAAGCTTTCCAGGTGTAGAGTGCCTCCCCTTCTGCCTGCTCCAGTTTTGCTGGTGACCTGCCAGTGTCCTTCCTCGCCCCTGGTGGTTGGGCTCCAGGAAAGCCAGGCTGAAAAATCACAGCCTGAGCTTCATCAGCAACCAGGTCTCTGTGGCCTTGCTCTGATGACCCTTGGTGATTCTGTGTGTGTGGGGGTGTGGTGTGTGTGTGTGTGTGGGTGTGTGTTTGGTGGGAACTTAATCTGACACGCCCACGCACAGGGCTTCTTGAGTAATCAGCCATGGTTACGTGGTGGCCTGAGTCCCCAGCCTGGATGTAGGGATAGCTGTGTAAAATCTGAGGATCCCTTTTCCTCATAAGCAGAGGGTGCTGGGCTGTGGACCAGGGGAAGATGCGTTGAGGCTGAGAACCCTGAGGTATGGTGCCCTTTTGAGAATGTACGGGGCTGGGGATTTAGCTCAGCGGCAAAAAGCGCCTGCTTGGCAAGCGCAAGGTCGTGAGTTCGGTTCCCGGTACCGGAGAAAAACCAAAAACCAACAACCAAAAAAAAAAAAAAAAAGAGAATGTACGACCAGCGTGCAAACACCACTTCTCTGACCTCCGGGAACCTTCAGAAGTGGGGACGATTACTGACACACTTGGGTCACTGGAGGGTGAGGGACAGTCCTTGAGAATGAAGAATTGTTTCCACCCCACGTGTCAGAGTGGTGTCTGCTGGGAAACACTGGCCCTGTGCCCAAGGATAGGGGTATCTGGGCAGAGAGCTGCCCCCAAGGACCCAGTCCCCACCCAGGAGCCCCGCTGTCGCGGGCACACTGTCCAGGGTATGGAGAGCCTGGCCACAGTGGCCAGCAGCCCCAGGACGCCGGGCTGCACAAGCCCATGAGGCTGTTTAGTCCAAGGCCTATTCTGTCCACACACCAGAGGTCCTCTGGAATGGCTGGGGTGGAGGAGGGTGCCGGCCCCAGAAATGCCAGGGTCTGTTGATAAGGCTTGTGTGGCATCCTTTTTTTTAAGTATGGGTAGCTCTCTCATCCAGAATCATTTGACATGCAGATGATCACAGATTTTTAAAGGCTGTTGTCATGGTTTTGTCTCTGAAAGATTGTTCTGTGCTGATGAAAGCTTCGAAGCCAGCTCTGGGACCTCAGTCCTAGTCCTGGCTGCTGAGGCTTCAGAATGAGATAAGAAAAGCACTGCTGAGAGCGACCTGTCAGTGGTTCTAGGCCTTCCTGACTGGACTCCGTTAACCATCCAGCACCACTCTTGATCTGAGATCTGGGGGGCTCACAGGGGACCCTGATGGAAACAGATTAGTTTTTTGTGATTTTTTTTTTTTTTTTTTCCTGGGGTGTTGGGGTGAGGCAGAGAAAACCGTCTGCTTGTCTATGAAAAACCTCCATGAGGCCCTAGGGAGTGAAGGGCTTCCCTCGGTGGACAAGGCAATGCCGTGCCCTCAAAAGAAGACTTGACTGCGGGACTTGGGGCTGGCGACACATATGGGGGAGGGATGGATTGGGCGGTATGGGGGACAGGCAGCAGAGAACAGTTGGGGCTGGGGGAACCCAGTAAGAAGCGTGGCCCTGCGTGTGAGGGTGAGGCTGGGGCACCCTTTGCCCCACGCTGCCCAGGCATACCCACTCTCTTGTTTGTGGGCACCATTAACAGGCTGTTTCCTTCCTCCCCAAACTCTGTTTTGCTCTTGTTCTGTGTCTTCCTGGAGTGCAGGGCTGGTTTCGGTTTTGCTTTGATTTTAATTAGGGATTCTGTTTGAACCACACCTCTGGGCCGTCTCTGTGGGAGATGGGGTTCCCCAGAATGTAGGGAGGTTAGGAGGGAAGGATTCTTCATACTGTGGAGTTCCTAGGGGTGGAGAGGATGGAGCCCCTAAGGGGAGGGGCTGTGGGTTGGGAGGAGTTGGCACTTGCACTTGTCTGTGACATTTCAGTGACCTGATTTATTCGCGGGAGCTTCATGGGGTCTCTTTTCCTTTGCAGACAGAGATTGCGAAGAGGCTGAATACGATTTTAGCCCAGATCATGCCTTTCCTGTCGCAGGAGGTAAGGCCTTTTCTTCCTGTTGCTTCCTTTGCTTTCCAGTGCAGCCCTGTCCATTCCGACTGACCGAGCTGCTGATCAGGAACATACAGAGCCTCCTCCATCTGAGCGGGGATAGGGACCGCATCCGAGGCCTCAGATAAAAATGGTCCTCTGCCACCACCCGGGTCCACCCCCAGCCTCCACACCTAGGAGCACACAAGGCCGGCCAGTCTGTGCCAAGGGCCATGCCAGGGTGTGACTAATAGGTGACATCATTGGGTGCCTTCCAAGGGACCAGCTAGGGACTCTGGGGGAAAAGGACAGGTGGGCTGACCTTAAGGGCCTTTGGCCCCATGTCTGTCCAGGGTCACTCCTGGGGAACAAGCCCTCCTCTCTCACTTGCCCTAAGTGCTAGGAACCACATCAGCTCCCCTGTGGAGTCCTGGGTCTCTTAGGCAGCAGCGGCCAATCTACGATTGGATTAATCCAAGAATCAGCAATAGCGATGCCCTGGGCGCTTGCAACCCAAGGAGAGGTGGCGGTGTATGGGGCTGGTGCTTCCTCAAGGCCAAAGGATTGAACACCACAGATTTTTAAATACTAGATCTGTTTTGTTAAGAGTAGTTTTAGGCTCAGCAGAACTGAGTGGAAAAGCTCAGAGATTTCCCATAGCCTCCCCGACAGGCTTCACGGCAGTGGATGAACCTACATTGACACTCAGACACCCATAGTCTAGATATTAAGGTTCATTTTGCTACCTTTCCTTTTTTTCTCTCACTCACTCACTCTCTCTTTTGTGTGTGTGTGTGTGTGTCTTTTTGAGGTAGAGTCTCGCTATGCATTTCAGGCTGGCCTTGAGCTCGGGACAATCCTCCTGCCTCAGCCTCCTGAGTGCTGGCGTTACAGGCGTGCACCACCATGCCCGGCTACCTTTCCTTTCTCATCCTACCTAGATACATACCATTCTGCTTCTGTGTTTTTAGTTGGATGTAAATTAGGACCATAGACCATACACTATCCATCTGAATACCTCTAATGTCAACTGGGGACAGTGACAGTTTGCCACTAACTGCTACAGCTAAAACACGGGAACGCCTTCCTAACACAATTACAATATTGGTGCTGTGTTTAGACGCTCAACTGTTCTGTAGTATTATCTAATATCCAGCTCATATTCAAATTGCATGAAGCAGATTTTTTGTATGACCAGTTGACGGCGATGTTTGACTCTTGCTGTCTGTGGTACTCATCGCTATTAGAAGATGTAAGATAATTGGAAGTTTTGATTACATTTGTAATACACATGATCATTTGAAAGGTTTAAAGAAGAAAGTAAAATTGCCTGACCCCTCACCATCGCTGCCTTAGGTCTGTTTTGTGGGTCTCCTTCTGTCTTTCTCTGGGGCTGTGTCCTGAGGTCCCCTCTCCCCCCGTGCTCTCCTGCCCACCCGTGCCCTCTCTGCTGGGGACAGTAGCTGCATCTAACCACGCCTTCTTCCCTCCAGCACCAGCAGCAGGTGGCTCAGGCAGTAGAACGCGCAAAGCAGGTCACCATGACGGAGCTGAACGCCATCATTGGGGTACGTGGACTCCCCAATCTGCCTCTCACCGTGTGTATAGCCCTTTTATTCCTCTCATTTACCGTAACCAGAGGTGGACCCTGAGCTTAGCTGGCCTCAAAGAGTGGCGGCCCCAGGGCTTTGGCTTCCCCTAACATCCCACGGGGTTGGATCTCTGTCTGCCCCCGATGACTCCCCATTGCCTCCTAGTCCCCAAACTAACGGGACACCGGACACACCTGAAGTTCACCTCTAAACCCCGGAGCCTTGTTCCCTGGCTTTGGGGCCTGGGATCAGTGCTGAGGCCAGGCCGACCGGCCCTTTTCTCCCTGGGCCTGGCTGTCTAGCCTGACAGGGGCCCGCCCTTCTTTGGCCACTTGAGATCAGAACCGTCTCTGGTGTACTGTTGATACGTACTGTGCTATGGCATTGGGGTGTGGGTCACGCTGAGCTTCATGGCTGAGCATCCGTCATGCGCCCTTGTGAGCTGAGTTCCAGATAGGCCGGCTGGACAGGTCATTCTGGTATTGTAAGAGTCCCATCTCACCAGGACATGGCCCCTGCCACTGGCCCAACAGGCAGTGCAAAGGGGAAGCCCTTCTCTCCGCTGCAGTGCCCTTCCCTGGCTTGCAACTTAAACGTATGCCTTGGATTCATATTACATGTTTTTTTCTGCTTGCTACTTGGATGTGAGGTGAAGGGCGTTGGAGATCAGTGTCTGAGCACAGCGGTTTTTATTTTCCCCGCTGTGACTGTGGGGTGCACCTCTTCCTCTTGTCCCTGAAATGAAGGAGCTAAGTGGGATCACTGCTTCCCCAACCTCAAGCAGCCTGGATATCCTCACCCAGGGAACTTGTGGGGCCATACAGGCTCCCGGATGCTTGCCCAGGGTCCTTCGATGTAGATCTGGAGCCAGGGCTTGGAATCTTGATGCTGAAATTCTGCAGATCATTCGGAAGTGTAGGCAGGCTTGAGAAGTAGTGGGCTGGTTTGCCGGGGTCCCTTCACCCTTACATTTTCTGGGATGTTGGTTGGTCTTCATTATTCTTCTTTTTGTTCTTATGTGGGTTCATTATTTCAAGATGAAACCAGAACCCCCCCAGGAATTTCTTCTGCTTGGGAAGTGCTAATAAATGGTGACTCCGGGATTGTCAGTGTGGGGCAGAGAGTTCAAGGCCTGGGCTTTGGTCATGGCTCTTCTCTGTGTGACCTTGGGCAGGCCTTTTTTTATGTCCTAGGGACTGACTTCTGCATCTACAAGGTGGTGGCCCCAGAAGGCAGATCATAAGATTTTCCAGTTGGCAATGTCTGGGGCAAAAGGACCCCAGTTAAGGACCATGTGCCTAGCCCAGGCCCCTTGTTTTACACAGATGCTGAGAAGCCAAGCCTGCGTCCTCTGTCCTCTTGGGGGTGGTAGAGGGGTGCAGGGAGGGGCGTCGATACACTGGCAGCCCCCCTCTCTGCAACCTCCTCTTGCAGCTCCCTTGTCTCGGAGGTCTCCAGGCCCAGGTCTCCCTTCTGCCTCTTTTTTTGGGTTTAAAATCCTCTTAGGAAAATAAAAAAAATTTTTATTTGAGTTTTAAGAAATCTGGAAAGATAGAGGAAGAAGCGCTGGTTGGATTAGCTCCACTTCCTTTAAGTAGCATTTAGGAAGCCACAAGTTAGGTCAAGGCAGCTCAAGGCAGATATTGGAATTCAATTAAAGCCGACGAGTGGGGCCTGTGACCCCCATTTTCAAGGTAATTGCTTCTCAGGCTCTGAGTGAATGCAGTCATCCCCCTGTCATTAAGCACGCAGCCCTCTAATCGCTTCGCCTGACAGAGGCTCCTCGGGAGGCAGGAATTACGGACAGCTGAGGCCACCATGCCGGGGAGCCCTGCTTGACTGCACCGCAGAAGGAGGCGGCTAATCTAGTCAGGGCATGCTTTATCTCCTCCTGGAGGAGAGGAGGGTAGGGGAGTGCAGTGCAGGGAGGGGGTGCAGAGAGGAGAGGCCAGAAGGCTCCAGAGCAGACATCAGAGATCTAGAGCAAAGATCAAAGGTCACAGATCAAAGATCAGAGACCAAAGGTCAGAGGTCTAGAGCAGACATCAAAGGTCAGATCAGAGATGGAGAACAGAGAGCAGAGATCAAGAGCAGAGAGCCGAGAAGAGGAGAGAGGGAACAGAGCCCCGGAGGCTCCAGGCAGCAACTAGTGGCTGTTCTCAGGCGTTGTGGGACGCAGCCTAGCAACCTGGGCTACGAGTTAGCAAGGCTTTAGACATGTCTCTTTGTCCCCGCAAGCCTCAGTTTCTCCACTGGGTAAAGATGGCGGAGGCCTAGGCATGCTTCATATGACACACCTCTCCTGGTCAGTTGCTTTCACCCCCTCTTAGGCTTGGAGTTGAAGAAGCTGAGGTTGTGCCCATAGAGGGCTTAGAGATGTCTAGCACGGGTATGGGTGTTGCCCGTGACCTATTGCCATGAAGATGAGTGTGTTTCTGTGGTCTTCTCATCCGGAAAGCCTGGCTCCAAGGTCCGGGTGGTGTGTGCAGAGGGGACAGGAAAGGAGAGATGAAGGGAAGGATAGTGTGCTGGCTGAGCCTACCCGCCCTTTGCTGGTCCACAGGAAGTTGCGGTGGTCCCAAAGCTTTCTCTTCTATTTGGGGCCTGGTAAAAACAACCAGGCCTCAGCACCTGCAGAGCTGCTGCTGGTATAGCCCTTATTTCCAGGATTCACGTTTTTTTGTAGGCTCCTTAGAAGAACAAGGTTCCTGAGCATGAGGAGGGAAGCATGACCCTCGGTCAGCCACTTACGCAAGGCAGTGACCCAGGACCCCATAGGCTGATGGATCAGCTATTTCCAGAATCTTTGTTTTGTTTTGTGGTACTGGGAATCGAACTCACGACCTTGGCATTTGCCAGGCGGGTGCTGTGCCACTGAGCTAAATCCGCAGTCCTCAGAACCTTCTTTTATGGTGTTCTGTGATAGACTTTGGCTGGAGAGGTGGAAGGGCTGTTGTCCACTGACAGTGTGGCTTGCATTCCCTGGGGAATCTTAGTGAGACGTTGTAAAGCATTCGTTTGATTTTTGGTTTTTGCTTTTTGTTGTTGTTGTTTTTGTTTGTTTTTAGGTAGAAGGCTAGGGAGGAAAAGGGAGGTTGTAGCTTGTCACAAACTACAAAGGTAACTCCTGGAATTCACATAGGCATTGCAAAGAGCTGGATCCCCTGAGGGAATCCGCTGGTGACGACACTGTCTTAGACTCCCTCAGTTATAGCCGTGAACCCGTGGTAGAGAGAGAGGTCCTGCTGGTACTTGGCTCTGGCTGCTGCTGGCTTAGGGGAGTCTCTAAGGCCCTGGAGCCTGCACCCCATCTCTGGCTGTGAGCTCTGATGGAGCTATGTCCTAGGAAGGACACTTGGAGGCTTAGGGCTGCACTCTTTCCTTGGGGGCTGGGAGCTGTCAGCTTTCTGCGTCAGGACCCTGCGTTTGCGTTCTCTGGTGGGAGCCCTTGGCCAGTGTGGCCTTGGAAATGAGGCAGTGAGACATCACTCAGTTGAACCCACATCTGAAGCTGCAGAGTGAAGCATTAGGCCAGGGATTTAGCTCAGCGGCATAGCACCTGCCAGGCAAGTGTGAGGTTGTGAGTTCAATTCCTGGTACCAAAAAAGCCCCAAAACAAACAAACAAACAAAAACACAGCGAAGCATTAATTAGATCAGCGAGCAGAGGCGTAGAGTGTGAGGTGACCCAGTCCAGCAGACCGTACACCTGTTGGTGTGACCAGGCCACAGGTGCGTGGCCCAAGCAGGGAGGAGGAGGACTCCTGCACTCCCTGGGGGACACGTGGTGACATGTTCCTTTTGAATGTGACATGCCCAAGGAGGGAGACGTGGGCTTGGTTCAGGCTCTTGTCTGTTTTTTGGGGGCTAGGGGTGGAAGAGGGAGTCTCCCTGGCTTCTTTTCACGTCCTGGATGGAGAGGTACGAGTGACACTTACCTGTTTCAACTGCTGCTGTAGCTGCCTCTGATTAAGCCTCAGAGGAGGCCCCAGATCTGGAAGGTGGTTGGTCACCTTTGGACAGAGCTCTCCGCTGACTTCCGTGTACTACATTTCACTTAATTGACCCAGAAAAATGCGTACAGGAACCATGCCAGGCCCTGTAAGAAGTACAAGGATACATAAGACAAGAGCCTTGCTATCCTGAAACTCCCAAGTTGCCAGGCATACGTAAAGATGGATGAGGTGATTGTACCTGTGACCTCTCCATAGCATTTGCGGATGTTGCCTGAGACATGCTTTGTTACTTCATGTGGGATCCCTGTACAACCCAAAGAGACTGATGTTCATTTTGCAGATGAGAAAGCCGAGGCCCACGGAGGTCAGCCAGCTTGTCCCGGAACTCATCTTTGATAAAGGATAGAGCTGGATTCCCCTTTGGACTATATGGCTCCAGATTCTGAGCTATTAGAACACTCGGAAGGGAGGAGATTATTCTTACCAGGAAGATGAGGAGGTGTGTCCAGAGAAGGTGGCATTGGGCAAAGTCGAGATTAGAAGGCGGGGAGGAGAGGAGATCTTACCTAGTAACGTGAGAGAGAGCCAGGCATTTGGACCTATTCGTCTTTCCCCGGATACCGATCCTCAGTAAGTTTTGTGTCTAGATGCAGAATTGTGTGTAGAGAAAATGCCAACAACATTGCTACTTGAAAACCACCTTCCCCTCTTCTTCTTTTTTTTTTTTTCCAGTACCCGGAATTGAACTCACGACCTTGCGCTTGCCAGGCAGGCGCTGTGCCGCTGAGCTAAATCCCCAGCCCCCACCTTCCCTTTTTCTATCTCTGCCCTTCCTTCGGGAGCTTACACACTCTGCATGATGAAAAATGGATGAAACGCCTCATCCTTGCTTTCTGGGCTTGTGCTAAGTAGTTATGAGTGGCAGAATTAAAGGGTCTCCCAGCAACAGGTTTAAATCAAGGGGGCCCTGCTGGAGACCCCAGGATACCTAGATGGTCCATCTGTACCAGGGAATGCTAAGCAGTCATCAAAAAAGGATAAGATTTCTTCTGAATACTAAAATCAAAATCAGGTTGTAAAGCAGTATGGCCAAGAAAACCCCATCTGTATAATAATACATTTAAAATTTGTAGATATAGAGGCACAGTAGAATCTTCTAGGGGGGTGGGATTGAAAGGTAATTAAAAAAAAAAAATCCAAACTTTAAGCGCTGGGGATTACAGCTCAGTGGTACAGTGCCTGCCTGGCAAGCATGAGGTCATGAGTTTGATTCCTGATAGCAAAAAAAAAAAAAGCCCAAACTTTTAAATTTATATGTATTTTTAGTCTTATCTTACAAGGAGCATGTATTATTTTTGTAATAGGGTCTACAAAATAACATCTTTAAAAGAGAAGGTGGAGGGGCTCTGGGCAAGCTCCATTCCCAGCAGAATCTGAGTTCCTTAGCTGGGAGGGTTGGGTGTCTTTGATGAGGATGTCTTAATTTTGTGTCTCAGGCAGACCTGCGGTCACGCCCCCTTGGGACCAAAGCCACTAATGCCCAACAGAGGACATCCTGGAGGTCTGAGCTGCAGGTCTTGAGTGGTGGTGGCGCGTGTTAGCCTTTCATCCAGGGCTGAGAACTGGAGCCCTTAGAGGCTGGGAGCTAGACAGCTCCCATGGCCGCGTCAGTTTGGGGTGCCATTGGCATCTTGGTTGGGAGAGCACAGGGTTTCTTGACCCTTGGAACAAACCCTGGTGGGCCTTCCTGTTGTCCTGGTGTCTGTTAGCAGCTGGCGGAGGGGTGTTGCGTATCGACACGTGAGCAGCTCCCCTTGACCCGTTTTTTTAGGCACAGTGTGAGGTTGGTGGTTGACAGATTGGAGCCTGAATCTCACTTAGCAGTGGCAAGACTTGGGCCAGTTCCTGCCTGTCCATTGCAGCCTTCAGTGCATCCATTTGCCATGTAAAAAACAAGCATAGGCTCCCTTGCCAGGTGGTGGGAAGGATTGAAGGGAATGTTTGAAAGTGCCCAGGCATTTATAAAGGTATTCAGCAGGTGGGTTCTCTTCGCTTGCACTGGTTGAGAAGAAAGATGAGACGGGCATACCCAAGTCCCCAGCTGCTCCTGAGTGGTCCACGCCGGGAACTGTTTGGCATAGTCTTAGCATAAACACTGGAGGGGTGTGGAGGCCACTGGAGCTGGTCACTTGGCGTGGGGAAGAAGTGTGAGGCTGGTGGTGGGAAGGGATATTTGGGCCCAAGAAGCAGAGTCCTGGTTGGGTTCAGGAGGAAAGCGCAGGATTGTTGATGCTGCTGTTGATGAGAGAGTGGATGGATGCTTGTCAGACTGTTGGGACAGTCAGGGCCTGTTGTAACTTGGTCAGCGCCAGCTGCTGTCCTGCTGCCTGATGAGCAGTGTCTGTGTGCCCCATGGCCCCTGCGTAGGTGCTCCTTTCCTGCTGTTACGGATGGGGAAATTTGAGGCTCAGTGAGTTGGAGTAACCTGCCCAAGGCCACACGACTGAAAACATGACAGATCTGGGAATGCCGTCCCAGTCCGTCTGGTTCCCAAGCCTTCCTGGTGCCTGCTGTCCGCATAGATGCCCAAAGATGTCAGCTTTTATTCCAGTGGCCCCAAACTCATCAGGCTCCTGACCCTTTTCTGCTCTAGCCTACCCTGCCCTGGCTTTCTGTAAACCGAGCTCAGAGTTCTATGGAACTAGAGGGTCTTCCTAGCTTAAGGGTGGCAGACTGTGGCTGATGATGATAATGGCATGGATGCATGAGCTGCGAGCTTCAAAACGATTCCCCTCAGCTGAGAGGGAACCCTGATGACTGTGGTTTTTTAATGCATGCACTATTTATCTTGGGCTTGGAAACAGAGAAATTCCGGTCTGAAGCAGGTGCATGGGTAGATGGGGCACTTGGAGATATAAATCTTATATCTACATTGCAGTCCATTAACAGACTTCCGTCAGCAAGATGAGCATGTGGACTGAGCTGGGGCACAGGTTTTGGGGGTGTTTTTCCCCCTGCTGGCTCCCCACCCATCCCACTCAGCTCTGCTCACACCAACTTCATTGCAGCAGCAGCAACTCCAGGCGCAGCACCTTTCCCATGCCACGCACGGCCCCCCGGTCCAGCTGCCACCCCACCCGTCAGGCCTCCAGCCTCCTGGGATCCCCCCAGTGACCGGGAGCAGCTCCGGGCTGCTGGCGCTTGGTGCCCTGGGCAGCCAGGCCCACTTGGCGGTAAAGGACGAGAAGAACCACCATGAACTGGACCACAGAGGTACGGCTCAAATTGGGGCAAGGGTTTGGGTGGGTGCTGGGGCCCCTTGGGGAGCGGACACAGCAAATGCTGCCACCCCGGGACCAGCAGTGAACTGAAGACTTAGAGCCATCTCTCTTTCTCTCTTTTTATTTTATTTTTTTTTTTGGTGGTGGTGGGTTGTGGAACCCAGGCCTCAGGTGCAGCAAGCACCCCACCGCTGAGCAGCACCACAGCCCTGGAGCTAGCTGTTGAATCCCTGGTGCATGGAAACCAGAGCCCCATTCTGTGTGCCATGCCCCATCCCGAATATCCCTGGCGCCTGTGCCCTGGCATGCTTGTGCCCATTTACCTGGAGCCTCCCTGCTTCTTCCTGGTGGTACCCAGCCATCCTTCCAAGGGCCAGCCCCGTCCACATTCAGGATGCCCCGCTGATCATTCCTGGGGTCTTTTCCAAATTCCTGCACTGCCCTTTGTTGCTGTCCTCTCCTGTCTCATCCCCAGGAAATGTTTGTCTTCAGGATTATTATCCATCCTTTGAGAAGCAGGGCCAAGTCCTAAGCAGGGGGTTGGAAGGAACTTTCCCTAGCCCTTCGCTCGGCCCTTGCCACAGACACCCAGATTGCTGCACTCGGCGGGCCTCAGGGTGGTCACAGCATCGGCAGAGGGCAGCCCCCAGCTCCCTGGCACACCCTTTGCAGATGTTGCCAGCTCTGTGCTCTGCCTTCCATGTTTTTTTTTTTTTTTTTTTTGGTTTTTCTCCGGTACCGGGAACCGAACTCACGACCTTGCCCTTGCCAGGCAGGCGCTTTGCCACTGAGCTAAATCCCCAGCCCCTGCCTTCCATGTTTACTGGGCCATGTGGCCTGTGGCCTGCGAGCCTCCTGGGCACAGAGGCCACCTTCCTGCTTTGGCTGGGCCGCCATCTTGGGAACCAAGCGGCCAAGTTTCTTGTGCCAGTAGTAGGGTGATCCCCTTTGGCAGAGGAAGAGAGAGTCGGGAGCAGACAGGAGCTGCTGCTTAGCTGGCGAACCATCAGCCCCTGGGGGCTTTTTGGCAAAGAAACAGAGAGTAATGGGGTTAATGTAGACAAAAAAACCCTCCCAGATTCCTTTCTTTTTAACAACAACGTTCTCAGCTCCCCCATCCTGAGTCCTCCTTCCCAAGGTTGTAACTTTAAGAACTGGTCTTGTTGCGGAGTGAATTAGTGTCCTTTGGCACAATGGGGCAAACAAAGCCACACCCCCCTCCAGCCTACTCTGGGGACCTAGGGGGACACTGGCATTGGGGTGGTTGATTTCCAAACTGAGAAGTGTCACCTAATGTCCCCGAGATGGCCAAGCCCAAGAGACTGAGAGGCAGGCCTCTGCCTGCTTTAAAACCAGGAAGGGATTTTTAGCAAATCTCCAAAGCCAGCTAGACCAAGAAAACTCACTGTCTTTCTTTTTGTCTTTTTCTTTGGGCATCTTGACTCTCTACCTGCTCCGGCCTTCCTTCCCCGAAGAGAGAGATTCCGGCGCGGTAAGTATGTTGCTCTGGACACCCTGGGGTGTGTGGAGGTGTGGGGCTTGTTCCTAGGACCAGCCTGTGGGTGACCAGAGTTGGCCTTGCGGTCCACTCTCCTGCTTGGCGTAAGCTAAAGTGAATGAGCTCTGACCCCTTTTCAGAGGAAATAATTAGCCAGAAAGGTCAGCTGATCAGGCCTGGGTCTGGTGCGGTATTGTTGAGCTGAGGACCCAGGTGTCCCACACCCTGGGCCAAGGTTTTTAACCCACCCTGCAGCTGGCTGCCTCCTGCAGGATTCTGAATCCTCAGTTCGTTCAAATGCCTGAGTTTTCTCCCTGTTCTGAGCTCTCACGTGGTTTAAGAAAGTGCTAGCAAGCAAGCAAGCATTAAGGGCTGGCCGCCTGCGTGTCTGCCAGCTCTGAGATTTGTTGTAAATCTTTCTGATCACACCGAGGCTCCGAGGTTCTGTTTCAAGTGAATAAGCCTTCTGAATAAGCGCAGTGGAGTCTGGATAAAAAAAAATCCTCCAGCGATTAGCAGAGCTATTTTATTCCTCATCACCCTGCTTGTATCTGGGGCCATCTAATCTGTTAGGATGGCTTTGGTTATTACCTCGTGTTAAGTAGGACTTGGAAGGTCAGGCAGTTAACTAACCATCCAGACGACAGCCTCTTGGGCAGCTCTGCCTCGCCTTCCCTTCTGGGCCTGTCAGCGATGACGCTGCTATCTTTTCTTGCCCTTCTGCCTACGTGCTCAGAAATCCAGATCCCTATTTCCGCCCAGAAACGGCGAGGTATGGGAGAAAGGAATAATTGAAGCTGAAAATCCACTTTGATTGCTTTAGTGCTGAGGCTGCGACAGCGGCATTTGGGGAGAAGCAGTTCGCTTAGATAAGAGTAAGCCCAGAGTGGTCGCTGGAAGGCTCAGCTCTGGTCGCAGCTTGGTGAGAGGCGGTCTCCGCCTCAGTTTCCTACATATGTCATGGAGTGAGTCCTGCCCAGTTGGCTCTCAGCTGTGTTCAGAAGTCCCCTGGGTGCCAATCACCTGGTCCAGAGAGATCTTCTCCCTGGAAATGGTGTTCGAAGCCCAGTCCCTCCTGTCTCCATCCTGCTCATCCTCACCTCTCTTTGCCTTTGGCTTTGTGTCCCTGTCACAAAGGCTTCCTGCTAGAAGCCCTCGGGCAGCCGAGCTCTTCTTAACACCCACCGACATCCTTGCGGGCTGACTCACAGAGCAGCGGGTGCACACAGGCCCTGGAGAACTGAATGAGCATGAATCAGATGCCGGGCTGGGGCTGGGGCGGGCAGGACGCCTGGGCCCGGCCGCTCAGGGTCAGGGCACCGGGGCCGCGCGCATGTGGTGATGGCGTTGGAGGCTGCAGACTGCAGCAATGTGCCTTTGGAAACCAGGTTGTCAACAGATGAGGCCCAGGGCAGGAAGGACAGGGCTGTGTTGGAGCGGGAGGGGGCCGGGTGGATGGGCTGGACGCTGTCCCAGAGGGGTTAGTCTGGAGTCCAATTAGAAGTAGCTTCATTCATATTTCCTTGCCTCGCTGAAGCAATAAAAAATACTTAGTTTTCTGGCTGCCTGCCAGCCAGAGGCGGGCTGGATCGATGCCGCTAAATGCCTGACATGACTCTCCGGTAGCGGCGAGGGTTTTCAGCCTGACTGCAGGAAAAGAAAGAGCTCACTGTTCTCCGAGCCGCACACCGGGTCGCAGGGAGAAACGCGGGCAGCCGGGCGTCCCCCTCCTCCCTGCCCGCGCGCCCGCGAGGGGCAGCCAGCCCGAGGGGCTGGAAGCATTTCTGCTTAGCATGGGGTGGCCGCCACCGTCGGAGGAAATGAAATGAAATGACGGTGATTTTTTTTTTTTTTTCTGCTGGCGCTTGCAGCAGCTAATTGAATTGCGGCTGTGCGCGCGCACGGCCGCGGAGCTCTCACGGCTGTGGGAAGGTTGAGCTGCGGTTCCATTATAACCTCCCATTTTTTTCTTCAAGGCTTGATAACTCTGCCATTTTAATTTGCTTCAGGCAGAAACTTGGCAGGGAAGGGCTGCCCAGAACCCGGCTTAGGAAAGGAAATTAGGTTCTGCGGCAGCTGGCTCCCACACCGTGTCCGTCCTGGTGACCCCTGCCCCCGGGGCAGCACTGGCCTCTTGATAAAATGGAGATGAGACAGGAAATACGAGAAGGTCGCTTTTGACACCCTTCTCTTCTGGACAGACGGCGCTCTGTGTCCCCTTGTGACCTCGTCATGCATCTCTGCACTGCCTGGGGCCCAGATCGGCTGGCACTTCTCTTCCCTGTGGCTAGCCTGGCAGCTGGGGAGAGCGGGGACTGTCTTTACTCCTTTCTCCACCCCTGGCATCCAGAGCCAGGCCTTCTGAGCATCTGGGCAGAGGATCAGAAAATGGAGCTGGGGAGGGAGGAGAGGAAAGAGGCTGGGCAGGTGTAGTTGAGGCTTTGAAAACAGTTCTCCAAGGCACACAAGAGGAGCCTGGTCCCCAAAGCCCCGGCCCGCTAGCAGCCACAGGGCGCACATTGTCGCCAGGCCCACCCGTCCTTGCTTGGCCCACCTTCCTTCTTCATAGGCCTGCACCCCCACAGGTTCTGTCCTCACTTGCCCTGTAGTTGAGGGAGAACTCTTGCAGCCTGAAATCCTTGGGTTTCCTCCTGCTTGGGGGGAGACCATGGACACGGTCCCCAACTTCATAAGGCCCCCAGGAGGGGACGCTTCTGCCTTACATGATGAGTTGCCTGATTTTCAGAGAGAAGGCTGTGTGATCTTGAGTTCTTGTTTGTTCGTGGCCCTGAGGGTTTCGTTTGTGGGATGCAGCCTCTGGGGCCAGGAGGCAGGTGGCTTGCTGCAAGGTTAATTATTTAATTGCAGTCCCTTGCAACAAAGGGATGCTCCCGCCAGCTTGTGGGACCAGGCTGAGGAGCTGGGGAAGAGCTCCCTGGTGCAGCTCAGGGCCTGTTGGTTCTGCAGACATGGCGCGGAGGTCCTCCCCCTCCCCCGGCCTTCGTGTGCCCTGCACTTAGCTGCGTGTCCGTGTCTGCGTGAGAGGTTGCATCAGCACAGGTTTTGACCTCGAGTCCTCTTCTTGCTTCCAGAATAATTCGGTGTCACCCTCAGAAAGCCTCCGGGCCAGCGAGAAGCACCGGGGCTCTGCAGACTACAGCATGGAAGCTAAGAAGCGGAAAGCAGAGGAGAAGGACAGCCTGAGCCGATACGTACGTCTGCGGGTTACCAGCTGGGACAGGAATGGGACAGCGCTGTGGCCCAGGAAGTCTAGGGTCAGACACTGAGCCAGAGAAGCACTGATGGGACAGGCGTTGGGGGCGTTCACAGACACAGTGAGCGCAAGAGCAGTAGGGGCTGGAGTGGGCATCAGTCATTCTGGCCTCTGAGGTCTGGGGAGAGCTGTGGGCTCTTCCATAGGTGGCCACCGTGATATTCCAGAGTCCCTGGCCCAAGGGACTGCTGCTGTACCCCTCTGCCTTGGAGTCCTCACCATCTGCCCTCAGTGTGATGAACCGGGCACAAGAGACCCAGTGGGCATGGGGCCATTGTGCCTCCATCGCCATGCCAGAGCTAGGACGGAGGCGAAGGGCCCTCTCTAGCCACTTGGTTACTCTGTGGTTTGGGCCACATTGCACACACAGGGCTCGACTGCACCGGGGTGGTGGCCCTCGGCAGAGCTGTGGGCATGCAGACAAGAGAGGAGACGGTGCATTGTGAAGGGTGGGAGGGACAGGCGGGTACGGTGGGGCAGAGGAACCCCAGGGAGGCGGGGCTGGCACCCACCCGACCCTGGAGGAAGTCGGCTTCCGCCTGGAGCCTTGCTGGTAGAGGGCGTGGGGTGTGCTGGATATTGCCCAGACTCGGGCATTTGGCTGGGTTCAGAGCCAGGTGGGTGGAGCGGGCCGTGGGTCTGGGTGGGAGAGCATGGCCTCTTACTGTCTGCTGTCTTCTGTCTCGGGTATAGGACAGTGACGGGGACAAGAGTGACGATCTGGTGGTGGACGTTTCCAATGAGGTAAGGGCAGGTCCGGGCTGCCGGGAGGCTGGTGGATCGGAAGTGTCCCTCCCTGGGGTGGGGTCCACACTGTTGCCGGGGCAGGGCAGCGAGGCCTCTGGGCTTAGGGCATCAGGAGGAGCAGGGCAGAGCCTTGCTGCATGGTGGCTGGGCATTCGTGGGTGCTGATGGTGCCCTGTGATGGTGTCCAGAGGAATCCCTGGAAGACCAGCAGGGGCTTTCTGTTTCCCCTAGTGCTGGGGGCCGGGGGCGTGGCCTCTGCAGAGTGGGAGTTGCTGGAGAGAAGCCACACAAGGCCACGCCCCGTCTCAGGCTTCCCGTCCTGAGCTTGGGTTTGAGCTGGGGCAGGTCATTGCTCCCCACATTCCAGCCTCGATCTCCCCACCCGTAGACTGAAGGGGTCAGACTAGATTATTGAGAGTGGGCTGCCTGCCCTGGGGGAGACCTTCAGTCTCAGCCAGGCCATCCTCCCATCCTTCACCCATGCCCTCCCCATGCCGTTCTCGGGGTTGGCGGGCTCTAGCCTGGCCGTGACCTTCTCAGCATCTCTGTACCCCTTGTGCCTTTAGGACCCAGCAACGCCCCGGGTCAGCCCCGCACACTCCCCTCCTGAGAATGGGCTGGACAAGGCCCGAGGCCTGAAAAAGGATGCCCCCACCAGCCCTGCCTCAGTGGCTTCCTCCAGCAGCACACCCTCCTCCAAGACCAAAGACCTTGGTCATGTACGTGGGGTTCACCGTGGCACCTTCTGAGGAGTGGGAGAGGGGTGGGAAGTGGCGGGGTGCCCAGGCAGAACTGGGGTGGTGCTAGCCAGAGGGAGGGCAGAGGGTGGGAGTAGAAGGACCTAGCCACCTGCTGCCTGGGCCCTGTGCTCCTCGGGAGCTGAGACTTGGTTTCTGTGTCTGTGAAATGGGAACCATCACCACGGCCCTTGCATTGGGGCTGGGGCTGGGTATCATGGGGGACCCTTGCCGGGCGCCGGGCTCTAGCTCTTGGGATAAAGGAATCTTCATGGCTTCCTTGGTGTGTGCGTCTTCCCTCTTCAGAATGACAAATCCTCTACCCCCGGGCTCAAGTCCAACACTCCAACCCCAAGGAATGACGCTCCGACTCCAGGCACCAGCACGACTCCTGGGCTCCGGTCCATGCCGGGCAAACCTCCGGGCATGGACCCGATAGGTATAATGGGTAGGCGCAATGGGTGCTCTGATGGCCGGGGAGGGTTGGCTGGGTTGGGACTGAAGCCCCACGGGTGGGCAGGGGCACAGGGGCTGTGCGAGCTGAGGCTGTCCCAGGGCTTGCACTTGGAGGCTTCCCAGGTCCGGTTTGCTGTGGGGGTAACAGGGCCCCTGCCGGCTCAAGAATATCCAGGGAGCATCCGCCAGGCCAGGCACCCTCACCCAACCACTCCCTCCCCGCTGACACCGCCCTCCCCACAGCCTCGGCCCTGCGCACACCCATCTCCATCACCAGCTCCTACGCGGCGCCCTTCGCCATGATGGGCCACCACGAGATGAACGGGTCCCTCACCAGCCCCAGCGCCTACGCTGGCCTGCACAACATCCCGCCGCAGATGAGTGCGGCCGCCGCCGCCGCCGCCGCTGCCTATGGTCGATCGCCAATGGTGAGCTTTGGAGCTGTACGTAGACCTTTTGGCTCCTTTTTGGGGGACTGGGTAGGGAGTGGGGAGCTGGTAGAGGTCACAAAGGCGAGCAGCTGCCCTGGGGGCTGAATTCGGATCACAGTGGGCGGAGCCTGAGCTGATGCAGCCCCAGGTTCCACCCCTGCTCACCTGTTAGCTGCGGTGCGACCTCCCTGTGGGCAGCCTGGGAGCTGATTCTTGCTGCTGGGCTGGGACGGATGAGGAAGCCTATGGGAGGGAATGGAGGCAGGTCACCCAGCAGGGCTTTGCTAAGCGGTAAGAATTGCCTGTCTATGGAGGAACGCTTAGGATTCAGGTCGGTGGAGAGGGACTGTGTTCCTGCCCCTGCCTGCTGTGTGGGGCCGCCCCTCTTTATAGGATGGGCCTACCGGAAAGAAAGGGTAGGAGCAGAGCGGACCCTGCTGCAGAGTGGAGGGTTTGCTACCCACTCCCTGCTGCCGACCTGGGCAAAGCCCTTGGGCCTCCCTGGCCTGTGCTCTGCCCTGCTGATGGCGCGCTGTGTCTGAGGAGCCAGTCAGGACAGATGGTGCCGCTGGGGTGGAGAAAGAAGAGGGGAAGGGGGCAGGTGACCGCGTCACTAACCCGGGGCTGCCTCACCTTTCTTTACAGGTTGGTTTTGACCCTCACCCCCCAATGCGGGCCACGGGCCTGCCCTCGAGCCTCACTTCCATCCCAGGAGGGAAACCGTAAGCTCTGGCTGTGGGTCTCACAAGCTTGGCAGGTGGTGGGCAGGAGTGTACGGCCCACCCACCCCATCCCTGGGCTGGGGCTTCCCCTCCAAAGCCACATAGGCCAGGTCTGACCCCAGGGCACTGCTGCCAGGGCACACTCCTGCCCAGCCCCAGAGGTTCCCCCTACCTGGGAGCTGGGGAAGCAATTGCTGCTGAGCACGTGGTCTCTGGGTGCTGGTGCCGGGAAGGACGGTGTTTCCTACCCCAAGTGCACAGAGCTGCCACAGACCTTGGGAATGCCATTGGGTTCTGCCTGCTGGTCAGTGCCGTTCAGCTCTGTGGGTTGTTGGGACACCGAGGTTGAGCATACATATACTGTGGCAGCCATACAGCCCCCAGGCTGCCCATAGCTCAGATGTGTTCTCTGCAACCTGCTTTCAAGGGCACAGGCAACCTTCCCCCCCGCCCACCCCCACCCCCGCAACACTCCTGCCTTCTAAAGCAGCAGTGTCATTTAGCTGGGACCTTTCCAGGGCTGGCATGTCAGGGTACATTACAGATGGTGGCAAAGGGCATTCCGAGGTGCCTGTGAGGCTCCCCATCTGATCTGGAACAAGGATTGTAAGTGGGAGAAAAATTCAAAGCTGGACTGTGAAGTCCTTCCCACCCCGCCGGAAGCATCCCGGGAATGTGGGGTTGCTGGATGTGAAAGAGGTGGAAGAGGGGCCAAGTTCAGGGTAGCCTACCAGGGGCCCAGGGGATGCACAGGCAATGGGAACGGCTCAGAGTAACGCGGCTCCTGCCTTCGCAGTGCGTACTCCTTCCACGTGAGCGCGGACGGGCAGATGCAGCCGGTGCCCTTTCCACACGATGCCCTGGCCGGCCCTGGCATCCCGAGGCACGCCCGGCAGATCAACACCCTCAGCCACGGGGAGGTGGTGTGCGCCGTGACCATCAGTAACCCCACTCGGCATGTCTACACGGGGGGCAAGGGCTGCGTGAAGATCTGGGACATCAGCCAGCCAGGCAGCAAGAGCCCTATCTCCCAGCTGGACTGCCTGGTGAGCACTGTGGGCTGCGGGCATCACCTGCAGCGGCTCGGGGAGGTTTGGGAGACCCTGGTGAGTTGTTTGAGCCACGCAGGACCAGCTGGCTAAACTCGGGGCCCCAGCTTTCCCACCTGCAAGCAGGGGTGACCTTAGCCTCCTGGAGTCTGTGAAGGTGTAAAAGGAAGGGGCTGCCGTGCTGGGTGTCACGACGTAGGACTTTTCTGGTCCCCGGGAGGGAATACATGGGCACCTCTCAGCCCGCCCCTTCTCCCTGCAGAACAGGGACAACTACATCCGCTCCTGCAAGCTGCTCCCTGACGGGCGCACGCTCATCGTGGGCGGCGAGGCCAGCACGCTCACCATCTGGGACCTGGCCTCGCCCACGCCCCGCATCAAGGCCGAGCTCACGTCCTCGGCGCCCGCCTGTTACGCCCTGGCCATCAGCCCTGATGCCAAAGTCTGCTTCTCCTGCTGCAGCGATGGGAACATTGCCGTCTGGGACCTGCACAACCAGACCCTGGTCAGGTGAGGCCGGCTGGATGCTGCTTTTGTGTCTCTGGGACTGTGGAGCTGCGCCCTTCCGGCCCGTTGACCTTGGCCAGGGCGTTCAGATGGGGGATGGCGAGGGAGAGAGACCGGCAGGCCTGCTTCTGTGAGGGGTAGCAGAGGGAAGTGGAGGGGTCGTGGGGGGAAGGGAGAGCCCCACTCTTCCCCCAGCACAGTGGCAGCGGCCAGCGGTGTTGCCTGGAGTCAGCTCTCAGTACTCCCTGGCTGTCCGTGGCTCATGTGGCACCGGGCACATTTGTGGCCTGAGCCCCACAGTCTGTGCAGGGGGTGGAGGGTGATGTGATGGGGAATCCGGCAGCCTGCGAGTCCCGTCTGCCGGGGCTGCTTTATCTTTCAACCGTCTCACAGAGTTCTCCAGGGTCGTCTTCACCCCCAGTTTGCCTCCTCCAGAGTTAGATGGGCCCCCTGTGGAGGAACTGGGTGTCAGAAACCTGTACCGTGTCCCCCAAAACTCCTTGTACCCTGGGGGCCTGGCCCTGCGCAAGGCCGGAGAGAGAGGGTCAGGCCAGTTCTGCTTCCAGCTCACTGAGCAATTGTGGTACATGTTGACCTGCTCTGGGCTTCAGTGTCCCCCCTCTGCTCGCCTGCTCCCTGGAGTGGCTACCGGCCTGGTGGTCAGGGGCTCCCTGAGGCTCATCCTCCTTCCCCCTGTGGCTTCATAGGCAGTTTCAGGGCCACACGGATGGGGCCAGCTGCATAGACATCTCCCACGACGGCACCAAGCTGTGGACCGGGGGCCTGGACAACACTGTGCGTTCCTGGGACCTGCGGGAGGGGCGCCAGCTGCAGCAGCACGACTTCACCTCCCAGGTGTGTGCCCGGGTCCCTCCCTTCCGGAGCCCCAGTGCACGGGGAAGGGCCCAGAGCGTCCCATAGGGGGGCACTGCCCGAGTCTGGTGTTCTGGCTTCCTGAAGGAAGCAGTGATAGACAGGCTGGATAAGGCCTTGGAGTCGGACACGCCGGACCTGCCTGTGGGGGTGGGTGGGCCCCTGCTCCACTGCTGTCTTCAGCTTTCCCGCTGAGAGGTGGAATGACCGCAGCTGACTCCTGGGTCTGGTGGGGGCACCTGGCATGCTCCCTCTAAAAGCCTTGGCCTTGCGCCTGGCTCTTAGACAAGCAGTCAGTAATGCTAGGCATTGCTCCTTCTTGTTATTGTCATTACTCTGCTATTTCAGTCTTAAATGTTTAATAACTTAGTGTTTTATCACTTAGCGTTTTTCCTAAGGAGGGCCCAGAGCCGCCACAGAGGCAGAGGGTGCCCTTGGAAGGGGCTCGTCTGTGCTCCCGAGTGTGAACCCTCTCTGAGCCTGGCTGTCACCCCCAGAGGGTGGGCCGGAAATGGCATCTATCTCTGGCCCATGGGCAGGGAGGCTCTAGGGACTGGTTTGCAAGTGGCAGGGGCGGGGGGGGGGGGCCTTGGGGCGCCGCCTGGCGCAAGAGTAGAGGGTGCTGAGCCTCCTCTTACCTACCCGCAGATCTTCTCACTGGGCTACTGCCCCACTGGGGAGTGGCTGGCCGTGGGCATGGAGAGCAGCAACGTGGAGGTGCTGCACCACACCAAGCCGGACAAGTACCAGCTGCACCTACACGAGAGCTGCGTGCTGTCCCTCAAGTTCGCTTACTGCGGTGAGCGGCTGACCTCTGCTTCCGGAACCCTTCCAGGGAGTGCAGTCCCTGTGTTTAACCTCAGATCCTCCTTTCACCCAACCCAGCCCCCCTCCCACCCACCCCTGGCTGGCAGAGAAAGGCATTCTGTGGATGCCCATGGGTCTTGCAAGTGGACAGTCACGTTGCGCACTGGTTAGCAGTTCTCAAAATGTGTTGCCATGGCAGCTGACCACATCCAGGGTGGGTCCTGCTGGAGGCACAGCCTGATAATGCTTTTGCCTTTGCCTGCAGGCAAGTGGTTCGTGAGCACAGGGAAAGATAATCTTCTCAATGCCTGGAGGACGCCCTACGGAGCCAGCATATTCCAGGTACCGCCCTCCACCTGGTGATGGGGGCAAGGATGGCGGAAGAACCTGGAGCTGGGATCGCACCTGCCTGTCCCCTTCCCTCCCCTGGGGGCAGGATGGCTGCTACAGAGGAAGCGCAGGGACGTGCAAAGCTGCTGATGGTTTCTGGCCCCTGAGGGGGAGGGCTTTTATATGCAGGGCTTATGTGGGCTCTGGAGAGAGACAGTAGGCACATTTGGGCCCCACTGAAGTAGCCCTTTTGGCCAGTGGTACCTGTCCGGGTGCCCCTGGCCACCCCGCCTCATGGACACGTGCATACACTCACGCACTTGAGCCCCCTCGGCCGCTTTCTGGCTTCCTGTTGAAATGTCCATCGAACCGTGTGTCACACGCGTGCCTCTGAATCTCTAGTTACGCAGTGTCCCAGCTCAGGATGGTCCTGGCTGTAACGAAGGAGAGGCACACATTTCCTGTTTCCACCCTTGAGACAACCTGCTAATAAGCTGCTCTTTAGAGAGAGGCTGGGAGGTGGGAGTCCGCTGTGCCCGAGGATGGAGTTCCAGGCAGGCGGGCAGAGGGGGGCAGAGCCTCATGGGCAACACTACAAATCAATTCCTGTCTTTTTTCTTTCCCATGCCTTCCTGCTTCTCCTCGTCGTCGTCCTCCAGTCTAAAGAATCCTCGTCTGTCTTGAGCTGCGACATTTCGGCGGATGACAAATATATTGTAACAGGCTCTGGTGACAAGAAGGCCACAGTTTATGAGGTCATCTACTAAACAAGGACTCTAACAGGGCTGTCAAACTCTGGGAGAAGCCGCCTCGGCGCTGACAGGGAGACCTCGTGAGCCCCCTGAGGTTGCAGAGGACAGGCCACCGGCAGCGGGGATCTGGGCTGTGCTGTGCGGGCTGCAGGGGGCGTGGCTCGTCATGGCCCGGACTCTGGGTGTGGATTGATGTGTCTCATGAACTCGGATGGACTTGGTCCTTCTCGCCCAGAGCCATGCTGGCGGATGCTACAAATAGATTCATCTGGAGGCTTATGGCTCCCATTCCCCACAGACACCTTCATGAATCTTGTTTGTTCTTCCCCTTTCTTTTTCCCTGTCCCCTCCCTGCCTTGGGTCGGGGACACTGGAGTGGACCACATTGTTGTGCCGGGGAGGGGGGGATCCGGTTCCCGATTGTGCAGTGCACAAGGTTTGTGAAAAATGTAAATAACAGACTCCTATCTGGGGCTGGTCAGCGGGGGAGGTGGCCCCTTCCCACCAGAACCTTGCCGTGTATTTCGCCTGCTGTATTTGCAAACCACGCGTGGTGGTGGCTTGTTTGTTTTGTTTTTGTTGTTTTTCCTTTTTTCTTTCCTTTTTTTTTTTTAAACTGAAATTCCCACGGGGAAAGAGGGCTGGAATGGGAGGAGAGCCTGTGGGGTGCAGCGGGGAACTGCAGTCTGCAACCGGATACCCCAGGTACCACCCGTGGGATTTGGGCGGCGCCAGAAGCCTGTCCAGATGGAGCACTGGATGGACGTCTGCGGGAACAGCTGGGTTTTTCTGTGGGTCTCTTCCCCCGCGTCGCATCTTCCCCTGTCTGTGCGCCCTCCGCCCTTTTCTTGGTGCACGCTCTTCATCCGTGGGGGGCCCGGGGGTTCTGAGGAACTCCCTGCCCAGCCTTTCTTACTTTCCGGGTGCAGCCTGCAGTGGGCTCACGTCAGAGGGAAGTGTAGCCACTCAGCTCAGGGAGCCACCAGAGACAAACAGCAACTGACGTGGGTACATTTTTTTTTTTTTTAATTTGAATAAAAAGAATCAGAAGTGATGTCCTTTTATAAAATGCCTTCTCCCCTTTCCTGTCTTCAGCCTCTTCACCTCCTGTAGGAGGAGGAAACGTCTTAACCTGAAGGGTTATAAGTCTGAGAAGCGGCTTCCTGCACCCCAACCTGGGCAGAGCAGTGGGCTGCGGGCTGTGGGGACACAACCTGGCACACTGGTGACCCTGGCAGCCTTCCTGCCCTGTCATGGGCCCCGCAGGTGGCAGGGACAGCGCCGTCTCCTGCGGGTACCAAATGTTCTGAGGCGTTAGGATTTTGTTTTTGTTTTCGTCCTTTCTTTTCCCTTCTAATTTGAAAAGAAAAGCAAAGGGCCGTGTGATTCCTGGTGGTGGGCTCTCTGTGGATGTAGCATATGGAAGATAATTTTTATACGCATTTTTATGGATTATTTTATAACACATGATTCGCTCTGGTGCGAAGGAAGGAGGGGGCTCCGAGGAAAACTGCCCGTCTCCGCAGCTCCCTGGCTGCGCAGCTGCCCGGCGGGATGTGGAGTTGGAGGCGGGAGCCGGCAGGGCACCCTGGATCTTGTTGAGATGTGGGGTGTCCAGGGTTTCTTTCACTGGATCCCAGAGCGTCATCTGCCACTTCTTAAGGTTCTGGCCAGAAGGGAGGGCGAGGGTAGAAGAAAGTTATTCCTGGAGAAAAAAAAGAAAAGTCATTGTAATGAGCTGTTTTTATATTTTTAAAAGTTATTATTTAAAGGTTGGTTTGATTGTTGTGTTTTAATTGCTTTTCCCCCCCGGTGTGTCATTCACCTCCAAGAAGATCCGGGGCCAGCATCCCACATCCATGCCTTTCCCGAGCCACCTCACCCCTAAGAAGGCCGATCGTGCGGGGCAGCCGTGGGAAGTGATGTCCACGGTCTCATGCTTGTGTCACCACGGGCAGTGGTGGGGTGGGAGCTGGGCTTTGCTTTTGTACAGATGACGGGGAAGAGAGACCAGGGCAGCACCCGATGAGTCTTAGTCCAGGCAAAATACCTTGGGAGTAAAAAAAGTTAAAATAATGAACTTCAGGTGAAACTGAAGCGCCTGAGAACGTCAGAATCCTGAAATACCCACCTATTCTTAATTTTTTTTTTCTTTTAAGCCTAATGTGAAGACCTCAGTGGCTGGGCCACAAAGAACGGGTGTTTTTGAGAAAGGATTTGCAGAAGGGGCAGCCCGGAAAGGCAAATGTGAACCTTTGATGCTGGTACAAAATACCTGACACCCAACTTGAAGTTTATTTTGGCTCACGGGTTTAGAGGGTTCAGTACATGGTAATTTGGTCTCCAAGGCACAAACATGGTGGAAGGAATGTGTTGGAGGAGAGCTGCTCAACTGGCATTCAGGAAGCAGAGAAAGGGCCTAGAGATGGAGGGGGGAATATATATATCTCCCCTTCCATACACCCTCAATAAGCCACTTCTTCCAACTGGGCCACACCGCCTGACAGCCTGTTTAGGTGTAAACCTATAAACCCATCAAGGGTGAGCTTCACACCCTTGGGATCCAGTTGCCTTCTGAAAGCCTCGTCTCTGAGTACATTTTATTTTGTTTTTTTTTTTTCCAGTACTGGGAGTCGAACTCACGACCTTGTGCTTGCCAGGCAGGCGCTGTGCCGCTGAGCTAAGTCCTCAGCTCCTGAACACGTTTTTGACCTAAACCATATCTAAACCATTTTAGCAGGACATGGAGGAAAGGCATGGTGGGAGGTGGAGGAGAGAGCTGGGGCCGAGGAAACCCTGGGGTTTGTTTCCCGCCCCCTCACTTAACTCCAGTAGAAATGGAGATTTATGTGGACACCAGCGCCTTATTTTGCCAGTCATTATAAATCAGTACAAATAGTAGCTTGCTATCATTGCATACAAGGAAGGAGGTAACATTTAAAAGAGAAGTGGCGGTCTCAGAATGAAGTGCTGCCTTTACACCTAGAAAAGGATCGGTGTTTCCCCAACTCACAGGGGTCTCGGGGTCCTCAGGTTTACAGAGAAGCTCCCGCAAGAGGAAGTGCCTAGTCTGAGCCCCCAGGCATTGTTTGAGCTGTGTCCTGACAGGTCCTGTGGCCTTGAATAAGACCTCTAGACTGTCATTTTTCTCTTCCTGGTCTGTGGTTTGTAGTAGGGCGCTAGAGGACCATGGCAGCCTCTGGCCAGAATAAAATTCTGTGTGTGCCCTGGATTTGAATTTGCACTTGAGTGCCAAATAGGGGTGAAGGCAGGGTTCACAGACCCCAGGTGGGTAGAAGAAGAACATGTCTTACCTGTGGACATGCCTCTGGGCATAGCCGGCTAGGAGAAAAGGCCAGTATCATACGCGTCTCCAGGAAGGGAAGACAGTGTCTGGGAGGATGTTCTACCTTGACACCCTGGGCCTGGTCAAGGGTGGAGAGATAAGACTCAGTTCCTGCTGTAAGGGTAGGAGAGACAGGAGGCAGGACACGGCCTCCAGCAAGCACTTGTAGTATCCTTGTTTCCCCTACACATGGGCTTCTCATTTCTGCCTCTTCTCCCACCGCTCTCCTTCCATGCAGTGGGGGAAACTTGTCAGAAATCCAGAATCTCAGCCTTGCACACCTCCCCACAGGTCTTACTGAAGTTAAATTTGCGTCTCCCCGCTCTGTCTTTCCCCTGCATGAGGAAGTGCTCTTCTAGTCCCTGCAGTTTGTCCACCCTCTCCATAGGGTGATAGGAGGCCTCGATACCACTTTTCTAGCCTTTTATTTTTACTTATTTTAAGCCAGAGTCTCACTGTGCAGCCCAGGTTGACCTTGAACTGCAGCGATCCTTGCCTCAGCCCCTTAGTGCTGGGACTACCGGCGTGTGACACCATGCCTGGCTTCTAACCTTTTCAAAAGTCACCTCCTAACTATTCTTTTGCTGTAAGGCAGGCTTCTCACCAGTCTGAACTTGCAGGACGCCCTGCACCTGTCAGCCTGTGTGCTCCACGAGACCAGTTTCTGGAGGCCACACACATGATATCCTCTGCTTAGGGCAGTGCTAGTGACCAATGACCCTTTCTTAGCTCAGAATTTGTCTTCTAATTCACCGTACCTGTAGTGCCAGCAAGTGATATCTGGAGTTCTTTGGAAAATATTCTGCTGGAAACAAGCTCTCTTTAGAAGGGGATGCAGGCGTGACCGTGAGGCAGCCATAATGGTCTTAGTTCCCATTGGGTTAGATACAATGTCCAGGTCACGCCAGACAACAGCTAACCCAGCCATGCCTTCCAGCCTCTCACCTTTCCTGTCCCCAGCATGGGCAAAGTTATCCCCTCCTCTAAATATCATGTCTCAGTGAGGAAGGACATGAAGCAAGGAAGTAGCTGTCCGGTGGTAGGACTCAGTGGCCTTGTTAGAGGATCAGTTTCCAGGGAGGGAGACCTCTTGGCCCTTCCCCGCCAGGACTGGTGAGGAAGTTCCTCTTGGAAGGGAGGTGGCCCAGAATAGTCACGGAAACCAGGGGCCTGCCTTGAGGACATCCTCAAACTCTCCCACCTGTCTTTCCCACTCTTGCATCATCCATCCATCTATCCATGCATCCATCTATCTATCCATCCATCCATCCATCTAGCTATCCTTCTGCCCATCCATCCATCCACCCACCCACCCATCCATCCATTCATCCAGCTATTCTTTTGCCCACTCATCCATCCAATGTTTATGTCATGAGAATCCAATTTGTGCCAGGCATGATTCTAGCTGCTAAGATGCCAAGATCAATAACGCAGTATCTATCCTCACAGAGCTCTGGACCACAGGGGAGGAAACAGCCATGGTACCAATGACCGCTGTGTGGGTTCTCCAAAAATGCAAGCCACATGTCATGGCACGGAGCTAAGGCATTCACCTGGCAACAGAGAGGAGGGCAGGGGACACTGCAGTCCTCACAATATACCCTGGCCCAGCCCTATCTAGTTCTTACCCCAGTGCACTCGATTCCAGTTCTTGCTGCCTGCCCCACCAGTCTCCTTCAGGCCTGAAGCCAGGCTAGGTCCCAGGCTGAGCAGGCTGGGGAGACAGCAGATGGGACCTGGGCAGAGACCAGGGGTCCAGGCTGAGTCGAGAGAGCGGGGGTAGTGGAGAGGAGAGGGCCGCAAGCCTCCAGAAACTCCAGCAAGTCTCCAGAGAGGCGGGTGCAGCAGATTTATCGGCTCTTTGTTTGAACAGAAGTCATGAGAGCCCACCTATCCATGAATGGGGGAAAGGACTTTTACAAAAACTATGCACTTTCCTATATAATAAAATTGTTCATAGGCATTAAAATGCATAAGCCAGATTTTTATATATCAACTTGGATAGGTCTCAAAAACACAATGTTGTGTGAAAAGAGCAAGTTGCAAAGAGAAATATATGATATGATTCTATTTATGTAAAATATAAATCTATACAAAACAATGCTATATTTGAGTATATATATGTATATATCCACATCCACAAGTAGTGAAAACGTCCCCCACCCCATTAGGATAATAGTGGTTTTCTGGAGGGGCGGGGAGGGAAGGAAAATGAAAGTTGGCTAAAGTTCAGCTCCACCTATCACATTTTATTACTCAAAAAAAAACTGAAGGTGTTAAATTATGCACACTTTAGAAATTTGTGTGATGACTTTGCTACTGTTGTGTTCTTCTTGTTCCCCACATGTCTGAACTATTTCATAATTAAAGATTCTTTTAAAACAAAAAAGCCAGAAAGATGAAGGCTCAGTCTGGACACGGCCCCTAAAGGGGCTGGGGTGGGGGGACAGGGACTAAGGAAGTCTGGGGTGGGGTGGCAGGCCCAGTGACAAGATGGGAAGCCTCCAGCTCACTCGTCACCTGGGCCACACACCTCAGCAGGTCTCACCGGTCTTCGTCTTCTGGTCCACTCTGTGATACTAAGGCTGCGTGAATCACCCCTGGTGCTTGTGATGCAGTGGCTCTGAGTATGTGGGGACAGCTGTCCCGCGCAGGACGTGAGATAGACTTGTTCAGCTCTTCACTGTGAAAAATGCCAAGCAGATACAAAAGGAGAGAAGAGAGGGGAAGGAACCTCCAGCCCTCTCCCTCAGGCGGCTCACCTCAGGGACCCCATGTCTTCTGATCCCACCCAAACCCACCCACCCTCCACCCGGAGTGTTCTCCAAGAAACGCCACATACTTACCCCTTCGCTGAATTAGGAAATGTTCTACCAAATCCAAGAAGTAAGTCCCATTTTTAAAATAGAACCTTCACAACGCTAAACCAACAAATAAGTTAACAATAATTTCTAATACCGTTAAAGATACAATTTACAGGGCTGGGGATATAGCTCAGTGGCACAGTGCCTGCCTGGCAAGCTCAAGGTCCTGAGTTTGATTCCTGGTACACACACACATAAAAAGATACAATTTACAAAGTTCCCTTATTGTCATAATTTTTTTTTTTTTTTTGGTTTTTGTTTTTTTTTTGTGGTACACGGAATCGAACTCATGACCTCGCGCTTGCCAGGCAAGCGCTGTGCCGCTGAGCTAAATCCCCAGCCCCTATTGTCATAATTTAAAAAAAAACATTTGAAATACTATCACTGTCTGTATGGAGCAAATATTAATAAACTTTTTAGGTTTCTACTCTTGCCTCCTCCTCTTCCTCCTCCTCTTCCTCTCTCTCTCTCTCTGATTCATTTATTGAAGAAACCAAATTATTTGTCCTTAGAACTCCGCACAGCCTGAATTCTGCTGATTGCTAAATTGTAGTTAGATCTTGGA